AGAGTCTAACACAAGTCTTAATGCAGGGATGATTGGATAATGTATGATGGACATAAATTTCATTGGTACACTATGTGTCAAGCAGTCGGCTGCGGGAATAATTTGCAAGTCAAGTAGCGTGGTATATCGATCGTCCTTTAATTTCTAACTCCAACAGACTATCATTGCCCTCCATCTTACGAGCGTTATTGTTGATAAAATTTAATCAAATAATATCAAGTATCTGATGTATATTTATTTATTCAAATCTCCGTGAGTTTAAGGAGTTAAATGCGGAATAATTTTGGTGGAAGTTGCGGTATTTTACACGCACGCAGAATTTCATGGTAGAATAAATTTTTTTCGTGCAAAAAAAAAAAGAAATTATCTGTAGCAAAAAAAATTTTAACTTCAGTCTTGCTTAAAATTTTTCTTACACAAAATTTAAACTTTAAATTATATACTTAAACTATTTTAAATACAATTCTAACTATTTTTATCAATTAACCCGCTTATTAAATTCATAATTAGAGCATTGATTACGTAAATGTAGAAATTGATCAGCTTATAAATTATTTGTGATAATGATTACATACCATCGGTATTTCAAAATGTTATAAATACTCTATACAATAAATATTATCCAATTTTCTTTGAAACTGAGACAATTACATTAACTTTATTTTTAGAAAAAGATTTATGTGGAAACATTTCCTGATGAATCCATATATTGTCAAATTTTATATCGACGTTCTAATTGGCAAATTGTTTAACTTCGTTTAAGAGAATCTGCCATTTGTATAATAAAACAATTAGTTCAAAATGTATTATCATTTTAAAAAATCCTTCAATATCTATTAGAGGTACAATATTTTGGCTTAGATCATTTAAATAATTTATAATTGGACTATTGCTCCATCAAAATGTTAAAGAATCACCCTTTAAAAAATAAGGAGTTAGACAAATTGCTAATTAGACTATCAATATGACTTAATATCGCTTAATTTATCTAAACCTTTTAATTATTATTTTTCTAGAAATGTATACGTCATTTAAAATGCCTTTTTAATCAATAATTGGTGTAGAAGTTAATTAAACTAAAAATTAATATCATCTAAGTTCTTTAAGAAAGTCGAAAAAACATTTTTTTTATTTTAAGACTTAATTCCTAGAAATTAACTCTCTGATACCGAGACGATTATGCGATTATGCGCCACCTGTCGGGACTTTTTAAAACTAAATTGGTCTAACAAATTATATATGAATGCAATATTGCCATTTTTGATTGTCAGGTTATATGAGGATATATTAAGCCATATATGGCCAGATATGGCTTGATATGCCCATATATGGCCAATTTTCTTATCAGACAATATGTAGACATATTTAAGCACGTTAAAAATTATTTATGTACATATTAGACCTTTTAGAAACATATACAATTTTTTTGAATGGATATTAGAATTAAATAACAATAAAAATGATATAAGATCATAGATAATTAAATATATGGCCAAATATAATTAAATACATGGCCATATATAATTAAATAAAATTAAAAATCATACTTAGTAAAAAATTTCTGCGTCATTGCGTCAAAAAAATTTGTATTTGTTATTTAATACTTTTTTTTTGACTAATTTAAAACAATTTACATAAAAAAGTGTTAAATTTTCTCATAAAAGTATCACATTGTCAACATAGAAATTTTTAACACAAACTTTTTAAATGCTTAAAATATTTTAGCGTGTTTATGAACATACTAGATCATATATATAGGCATGTAAAATTGTCTTAAATCACCATATAATATTTATCTTAAAAATTAAACTCTCTTATAGCGAGAAAATTCTGCAATCTTTTGACAACTAACTTTAATAAAAAATGCTACAAGAACATTCTAAGTCATAAAAAATTTGTTTTCAATATTTAATACCTTTTTTTTTATTAATTCAAAAGAATTTACATAAAAAAAGTATTATAATTTCTCATAAAAATATCAAATTTTTAACATAAAAATTTTTAACACAAAATTTTAGACATACTAGATCATATTTGGGCATGTAAACTTTTCTTAAGTCGCCATAGAATTTTTATTTTAAAAATTAAACTCTTACAGCGAGAAAATTATGCGACAATGCGCCGCCTATCGGATCTTTTAAGCACTAACTTTAATAAAAAATGATAAAAGAACATTTTAATAATTACCGACAATTGATACAAAAATCTCGATTCAAGAATTCGAATTCAAGAACTGAATAATTTTTTTAACACAAAAATTCTTACCGAGTGTTTTTAATTGTAAGATTATAACGATAATAACATAAAAAAAATATCCATGTGTGAATAACAATTGGATTTATTACTATATGTAGGTCAAACACTGAGAGACCGATAGCGACTGATAAAACGTACGACGACCTACATCAATGTGCTGTTGTACTGTCGTCAGGTATTCGCTCTCATCATTCTAACAGTTTAACTTGAAGTTGTTAACTCGAGGACATTGTCGAGATTGTGTGTGCAAAAGTACACACACACACACACATATTGTGAATCTAAATGTCGTTGTTGGTGTGCGTAAGTAACTAAGTGGATTGTAGATAGTTGTTTGAGGTTCAGTGTGTGTGTATTGTAAATGAAAGCTACACACGCGAAAATAGCCAAGTTATGTAACGACAGTTTTACTTTTCCCGCGAGAAGTTACGATATAATGCTGAATATAATAGCGAGGGCGGTGTTATTGGACGAGATGATAATTGATGATAAGACACAGACGGTGTTGAAATATATATATTATTTATTTGTAAGAGTTGCCGTTTTTTTTATGTATTAGTTAGATCATTGTTACAACATATGTTTACTTTGGAGGATTAAGAGGTCCAATTACTGCAGATGACTAACTTTTATTTTGGTAATTTACGCGGATTCTGCTATTTCAAAATCGTATTTTTTGAAGATTTTAAATTAAGAGTTTCTTTACTGGATATGCTGACAAAAAATTTATTTTGAAATAAATGAGCAATATTATTATAATAAGAAATTGTAAAAAATCTTCGCTTGAGAAATAAAAATATTTCTCACAGTAACTTTTTTGTTAAAAAAATGTTATTTGATTTGCACAAAGACAATTTTAGATAGAAAACTTGCAATTTTTTATTCAAAATTATTTTTTGTCGGATCTAGAGAAATTTTATTGGCATTTTTTATGATATAAGCTCATTTCGGTGTTACAATCATCGAGACTTTTCATTTGAGTACCCACATGAATTTTTTATATATTTCTTATATTTGATATTTATGGAATATATAAAAAATTCATGTGGGTACTCAAATGAAAGATCTCAATGAGTGGAACATCAGAATGAGCTTATATCATTAAAAATGTCAATGATTAAGAAATGATATTGTATCTTCTCAACTAATCATTATTTTTAAGATATAAGCTCATTTCGGTGTTACACTCATCGAGACCTTTCATTTGAGTACCCACATGCATTTTTTTTATATATTTTACATATTTGATATATATGAGATTCATGGAATATATAAAATATATAAAAAATTCATGTGGGTACTCAAATGAAAAGTCTTGATGAATGTAACATCAGAATGAGCTCAAATTTTAAAAAATATCATTATTTGACAAAATACAATGTTATTTCTTCATTACTTTCATTTTTAAAGATATAAGCTCATTCCGATGTTACACTCATCGAGTCCTTTCATTTGAGTACCCACATCGATTTTTTTATATATTTTATATTTTTGGTATATATGATATTTGTGAAATATATAAAATATATAAGAAAAATTGCCGTAATAAATTAAATATGGCCGAAAAAGATATGAAATCTTGAAAAGGCACAAATTTTAATGAAAACTTTCGTAATGATACTAAATTAATTTGAAAAAATTAAATTTAGAAAAATTTAGAAAGTCTAAAAGTTGTATAGTTTTATAGATTTATCTTTGTAGGGAATAAAATTTTTTACACAACTGGAAAGTCCTTGACTATAACCTGGAACCGGAAATTGCTAGTCTTATGTTTCCGGTGCGCTGGAGGTTAAGTTTACTGAAATTTCACAGCCGTGAAATTTTTATGTAACACTTGAAAACATTTCAAATAAATTATCTTTTTTAGCCAACACTCCAAGCTACCGTAACGTTCAAAGATTTCAACAAAAGTTGAATTTAATTATATGTGACCATCTTAAATTATTTTTTAATGGAATTGAATTATTTCACTAATCGTATTACACTACATTATTACAAAATATCATTTACGATATAATTTTTTTAACTGCAAACATTAATACAGACATTAATTTTTTCAAAAATCTACTTAACGGTATATTATTCCGTTTAGCTCATCCATTTTTAGCTGATTGACTTTAGGTAAGATTTTTTTATTTAATTAAAATATTTTTATATCAGAATTATTATTTTATTCGGCATTATTAAGCGAAGAATATAGAGTCTTTTACGAATGAGTAATTTTTCCAGTGTGTTCTTAGAAACATAGAACCGGAACACCGCAAGAACTTCCTCATAGATGTCGCTGTAAGTTAAAGTCTTTTAGGCGGGATATTTTAAAATCTACTTTAAAAAATTCCTTTAATAAAATGTCACTTGTTATTCAGAGTTATCATTGAGTAAATAAATGAAATCTAAATCGCAGTTTTAAATACAATTGAATAAATATACGACTAGTAATATAGACTTGACCTGAAAAGGAGTAATAAATTTTTTATTCTAATTTAAATAATTAAATTCCGCATGAAAAAGTCTGTTTACTACGTAATTCCTCCGAGACCAAAGATAAATTCAGTAATTTAGAATAACAGGTCTTAATTTAAAAAAATTCAAATGTCATAATTTATAATTGAATTAAAAAAAGGAAAGAAAAAAATTGTAATAGCAAAGATGTCGCTGGTGTCTGAGTCTGGGTAATATACCAATTGACGTTAAAATGTTGTGTAGCCTTGAGTGTTCATGTTCACTAAAGCATGCAGTCTATTTCATGCGCACTCGACCCTGCTAGGCCTTTGCTCTTCATGACAACTGTCATCACCAGTTGTACGTCTCACATTTCATTTTACTCGTTCCATTAACATTAATACTGACTTATTTCATTGTAATAAATACTCGGTTACTCCCAATTATTATTATTATTATTATTATTTATCTTGTGTTATTAACTTGGAATCAAAATCGACGCATAAATATCATCTTAAATTTTTTTAGCGTGTATATGGGCATACTAGATCATATATCGGCATGTAAAATTCTCTTATATTACCATAGATTTTTTATTTTAAAAATTAAAATCTCTTATTGCGAGAAAATTCTACGACTATGCGCCACCTATCGGATCTTTTGAGAACTAACTTTAATAAAAAATGATAAAAGAACATTTTAAGTCATAGAAAATTTGTTTTCAGTATTTGTTACCTTTTTTTCGTTAATATCAAACAATTTACATAGAAAAGTATTAAATTTTCTCATAAAAACATCAAATTTTTAACATAAAAATTTTTAAAACAAAATTTTTAAACGCTTAAAATTTTTTAGCGTGTATATAGACATACTAGATCATATATGGGCATGTAAAATTCTTCTATATCGCCATAGAATTTTTATTTTAAAAATTAAACTCTCCTATAGCGAGAAAATTCTGCGACTATGTGCCACCTATCGGATCTTTTGAGAACTAACTTTAATAAAAAATGATAAAAGAACATTACAAGTCATATTTCATTGTAATAAATACTCGGTTACTTCCAATTATTATTATTATACTATTTATCTTGTGTTATTAACTTGGAATCAAAATCGACTTTTTTCCACGTCTTTTTTTGTTTTATTTTACAAATTTACAACGAAATATCTCAAAACAAGAGTGAAATTTCATCCAATATTTTTCGTTAACCAAATAGATTTTTTTTTACCGCATATATAATGCGCTATGCACATTATTCATCCTCGGACGATGATGCGACAAAGAGAATAGCTGGATGAGCTGAAATAGCTTTGACTTTTATAGCGGATGTGACGTCAGATCAACCAGTTAATTATCCCGTTTTGTTATTTCTCTCTCTATCTCTGTCAGATTCTCCACTTGCAACAGTGCAACAGAGCAATACTGCAACAGTGCATACAGCAGTTAGTAGTGTCGTCTAAATCTTACTTTTCTTTGATCTACAGTTCCCACTCATTTCCGCCGTATCAATCGTTTGCACTACTGCCACACTGCACTTTTATCTCAACTCTCCTCATTATATGTTTACTGTCATTATCATCATTATTATCATTTTCTCGTTTTTATTAACGCTTGAAAATTTTCTCACATCATACTTCTCTCACTTTATTATCACCGTCATTATTATTATTATTATCATACGACCCCGTAAATTTATTTATATTCTTAAACTCATTTTTTTCGCTATTAATAACTTTTAAATCGCGTGTATTGTTCAGCGATTCGATGCGGGTGAAAAGATATATACAACTGAGTAAATAAAAGTACCCACATTTCGTTTTAAAATCCGACCCACATACGAGTTTAAAATTCATTAAGTCCTAGACCTAGCCCGCATGAACATGACCTTAACTATTTTTTTTTCTTTTCATATTCTTGATAAAAACTAATTCGTGACTGTTTTTCTTTTATCTATTTTATATAATTATATATTTTAAAAGAATTTTTTTAATTTTTAAATATTTTATTAATTGTTAACTATAAGCTATAAGTTACAAAATTCATTGTAAATAGTTCTTTTACAATGTATCAATTAAATAAAAAAGTTTGGCTTATATATACTCTGGTTAAATATTTCTGGTAGCGAGAAAGCGTAGCCACCTATCGGCAAAACCCAGAACTATTAACAAAAATCCCCAATTTTACATTATTTAATTGTTTTTACATGAAAAGAAAGGCTTTCAAGATGAAAATTCTTTTATCAGGACACCTATTTCCCCAAAAAAAATTATTTTTTTCCAAATTAACTATTTCATCTACTTCAAAATCTTCAATTATATGACCCAATTTTACATAACGAGTGGCGCAATAATTCCTACCTAATTAAACTCTGGAATTCCGCGTCTAGAAGTGCAACAGATGTTTAAGGATTATCACCGACTAATACGTTCGCTATTGATTTCCGTTCAAATCAAGAGCTTGTTATCACTAATTAATCACCAATCACTATTACATAATGTCTTGTAAATCCATAATCAAAACAAAAGAGCAATTCAGCTCGGCAATTGATACTCTGGTTTAATTCCGTCCAATTGACACAAATCCAAGAAAACCGACTAAATTCTTTAGCATCAATCAAAAATAAGTACCAAAAAAAGACTTACCTATTTTGCCGTTAGGACTGTAGGGGTCGTAGCTTCCAGAGCTCATTGGACTGACGTATCCATTATTATTAGGCTGTTGTCCAGTCTGGTTGATGGTCATATTGGGTTGTTGCTGCAACACCTGCTGTTTTTGCGGCGGAGGTGTTGGCTGTTGTTGTTGAGGTGTTTGCTGTTGCTGTTGCTGTTGTAGCGTAGGCGTGTGACAAATCTGCTGCTGAGGCGTCGTATAAACCAGGTGTCTCACAGGGATATTCTGAGGGGAATTGGGACTGCTGGGTGCTAACCAGTCATCGGGTCTGGGTCGCTTATTGCTGTTGGCGATTCCGGCAAAAAGTGACCCCCCAGGACCAACAACAGAGTGTCCTGTGGCAGTTGTGGAGGCCGTAGAACCGACTGAGGTGCCCGCAGCTATGTCAGGACTTTCTGCCTTGACCATCGGAGCTATCATAGTAGGCTCTCCGGTGGTTATCAAGGTCGTGCCTTCAGAGGTGTCCATGCTCGTTGGAGGACTCATCCTGGTTGTTGGTGCTAATGCGATGTCACCAGTGCCCATTCCGTTTGTTGTGCTGTTGGTTATGATCGTATGGATGTTTTCGTTGATGATGTTGCTAGAATTGTTATTGTTGTTGTTGTTGTTATTGGCGACAGAATCATGATACCGCGAGGCGGCCACGTTACTGCTCGCTAAACTGGTCACCGTAACTCTTGTACGATCAATTTTTGTGGTAACTGATGTCGAGCCAGAACCACTAGCAGCGCCATGCATATTGACCGATACTTCGTAAATGGTATCATGTAATTTACCTAGACACATACAATTGGTGGCTTCAATTATGCGGACGTGGTGATCCGCCTCCCAGCTTAAGGGTTAGGGTAACACTTACTTTACGCGGTTTGGGTTGAGATACTAAGGACTAGAATAGTAGAGACGCGTAAAAAACATGACGCTGGCTAGCGATAACACCTCGTATTTTTCCATAATTTTTAAGTGTGTTAGTTAATTGTGGCCAGGTTTCTGACCACTAGCAGTGATTTTTGGACGACTTGCGGAATAATGGTGATCTTGTGCTTTCAAGGTGTTTTTTGTCTCACGGTTGAAGATTGGGAATTGAGTCGAGAGTGGTGTTCTGAAAATAAAAAGATTAACGAAAGTTAATTTAGTGATTACAATTAGGCAAAAAATATGAGGCTAGTTTTGAAACATTATTTTGGTAATATTTGGAGGTACTTAGTTTGAATTAGATAAATTTACGTGAAAATAAAGAATATTCAACGAGAATAAAGAAGTTTGTGAAGAATTCTTTGAATTTAACAACTCTAATATTGTGAAACTAAGATAAGATATTCAGAAGTTAATTCTGAATTAAATATAGCAGATACGAAAAAAAAAAAAAAGTTTAACTTATATATACTCTGGTAATATATTTCTGGTAGCGAGAAAGCGTAGCCACCTAGCGGTGGGGCCAAGAACTACTAATGAAAAAAATTCCACGCTTATGTATACTTAGTTAAGGAGATCCAAGTACTCTCCTAGTGTAAAGAATGTCTATAAAAAATAATCGTAGAAATACTTTTGTTATATTAAAATCAATTTTTAATTAAATTAATAACACTTTTGAAGAAATTTCCGATGAATTTACTTATTAAATAATTATTAACATTTAATTGATTAATAAAAAATATTAGAAATTACAATTTTTAAACCTAATTATTTGATTAAATATCCCGGAAAACTACAGTTTTTTAATTTTTTTATTAATTATTAGGCTACGTAGATTGAATTTACAAATTTTGAGGAAGTTTTCAAAATTTGACTACTTCGCTTGGATCTCTTTAAAACTACTAAAACTTAGTTCTTAAATAAAACTAATTTCACAGTTTCATTAATTGTTGCTACACTGAATGACAGAATAAAATATCAAGAAAAAAGCAACTTTTTTTTTTCAGACAACAAAACTAGGATTGCAAATAATTGGTTTTCTGTCGGCAGCTGTGGTTAATATTTAGTAACTTTGAAAGTCTTACGTCGGTAAACTTTTTGCTGACTGACAAAGCGACTCAACTTGAATTCGCAATTTCACCCATTCCGATGTAATCCGTCACTGACAATATTGCGATGTCTTTGTGATAATTATCGTTGCTTGACAGCGAGTGTCCGCAATCTTAACTGACGCAACATTTTAAATTGTCTTCTGTTCTATCTGAAACAAATAAGTAAAATTTCTATTGTTAATTAAACATTCAGTTAACGCAATAATTATTAGCTTAGTACGGTAAAAATGTTATTTAAGCATTTATAACTGTTATCGAGGTAATTATGTTACGTTAGGTGAGGGTAATACAATTAAACGACCGGTGAAGTTTGTTGATACAGTAATTTACAACACGAGCCGCAAATGCGGTTGACAAAGTTCCATATGCCTGTGAAAGGTATACCACCGGGTCATAGTGATAATTGATACTCAACTGAGTGGGACAAATGGACTTGTCAACTAAACTCGAGTGACATACTCAGCCTTGCATTTATTACGACAAATTGGAAATTCTTTTTTCAAAAAAATATTTTCTTGGCTCAAGTGTACAATGAAAATCTGCGACTGATAACAAATAGCTTTAAATATTGTCCTAATCCTGATTTTGATTAGCGACCATAAAAGCCTACTTAAGTCTCTTTTATAACTCTCAGCTAATCAAATATAATCAAAAGGTTTTGAGTGTTCTCTATTCATATTCTAGTGGCCTCTTAAGTTAAGCACGTGAGCAATAGAGTGCTTAGTGACCAGTCCGGTGTTTATGAATACTACCACCTAAAGTTTGGTTCAGTCACTTCATAATAGGTCTTGTAATACAATGATACAATACCTATACAATTTATTTTTTTCTTAAAAAATCAATGAGTATTATGAGGCGTGCACTTTAGATTTTCCAAATTTTTTTCAAAATTTTATTTTTTTACTGATAGAAGGATTTGATTATATTAAATAAGGTTTATTAACTGTTAATAACTGATTTTTTAACATCATAGAATTTAATAAAAATATTTATTGAATGTTAAAAAATATTTATTAAATTAATTTGTCTTCAAATAAATTAAATTATTAATAGCTTATAAATTTTCCAGAAAAAAAGTATCGCTATTGATCGTGTGTCTTTAACAATTTTTTTTTACCCATTTGAGCCTAACCTCCGACACCGCCTAACCCTGACCCATCCCACAGACTTTGCCCTCAAGTCTTTTTACCCCTTTATGTAACCTCCCTCGTGAGACTTTTTCTCTCGAAAGTCTAGGTCTCGGGAAGTCAATACTCTCACTTAAATTTTATACAAGCTTAAAAAAATCTTTTTATTCTATTCATTTTTTTTTTTTTTTTTTTTTTCCGGGTCCTTTTACATAAAAATAATTATCAAAAAAATATTATTGAACTAGAACTAGGTGATGTCTATCCTCGGTCTGAAAATCCGCAATTTTACCGCATGTTCACGAGGGTATATGCGGTTGCGCGTTTGAAAAGTCGGCCCCTCTACTTTTATATGACGCATACGTTTGACCCAGAAGTTTATTTTACAATGATTAAGATTTTATACTAAGAAAACAAAGTTGATATTTACAAAATTCATTATTTAATTATTATTTCAATATTTAAGAACTTGAAAAAAAAAAATCGCCCACGCATTCTCAAGCAGACAAAAAAAATTAATTTATGTCGACTTTATATTTTAACTTACGTTCTGTTCACATTCGTGCTACAATGGTAGAGTGAATATATAAAATTAAATTCTCACGCGCGAAGAAACAGCAATAAACGTGAATTCGCATTATTCGCGAAACGTTTTACCATAAAGATAAAGTTTTCAACATTTCACGTCTATTCTCAAGATCGATTGAGACACAGCAATACATTCCTTACTATTTTTTAGTGCACTATCTTTATCTATCCTTATGAATTTAGCTGTTAAATTAGAGACGTCTCTCAATTTACGCAATAGTAATAGTTAAGATAGGCTTTATGTTCGTAAAAATATATGAGTTTTATTGAGGGAAATTCCGGTAGACAATTTGATAAAAGTAATACTTAAAAAATGTAGTTGTTAAAATCATAATAGATGTATTAAATTAATTGAAAAAAATACAAAAAAGAAAAATGTCTATTAAATATTTATTTGATCGAAATAAATGGGCTTCAATAAATGATTTAGTAACTATTACTAAATATTTGGTAATTAGGTTTTTACTAAATCACTTAGTAAGTACTACCAAATCTTATTAAATAAAACTAAATCCTTTTATCAGTGAAGTGGTCCGCTCTGCCAGCGAGAGGGAATCTTTCCATGCGCCACCTAGCGGTCGGCGCTCTAAACTACACAGAAAAAAAAATTGCATTTAATACTTAACACTTATTTGTGTTGAATCAAGAAAATTAACACGAAAAAGTGTTAAATATTGAACTCAAAATTTTTGACGCAATATTAATTCTTAAAAATTGTAACATGAAAAAATTTGATTTCTCAAACACACATACTCCTAAATGGCTTATATGTAATTTCTCAGCGGAGTTTAGTTTAAATTTTTCAATTAGTCTATTATTGATATGTTAAAAACTTGTTTAATTTTAAATTTTATAAATGTATCAACTAAAAAATTAATGAAAATGAAGTTAGCCGACATTTCAAAATTTTTAGAAATTTTTTATTGAAAAAATTTCAATTAAACAATTAAAAAAAAAATTTCACCTGTAAAAAACTTGAAAAACTATAAGTGCAATTTTTTAGAAATATCTTTTTAGTTGTAATTTAATTGAAAAAAAAAAAATTAAAAATTTTTAGACGTCTGCTAACTTTAGTGTCATAAAAATTAACATTTAATGAGATTATTTTCTTTATAATACCTTATATTTTTACTTAAAATTTATTTTAATTAATTTTGAGTAAAAAAGTTAGGTTGTACGCTAAAATTAGTTAAAAAATGAATTTCTTTAATACTAATAAACGATTTATTGCGAAGCAATACATCATTTGTTAATACTAAATATTTATTTGGTGGCAATGGGCATTAATAATTTATTTAGTAACGACTACTAAATTTTATTAAATAGAACTAAATCCTTAATATAAATTTTATCTATTTTTAGTAGATTTCATAGAAATCTAACTATTGCAATGGTCCTCATGACGAAACTTTTGAAAAATTTTGCTATATTCCGACTTAACTCGACGAGCTGAGTCAGAAAATACATATGGTTCAAAAGTTTATATATGTATGTATATATATACGATATAACGCGGCTTGTCACCACGATAGCGTCGCCAATTTACAATGGATCTTTACCAAACTCAACATACTTATTCTACAGATAGATACCGAGGTCAAGTTCGAAGATAAGCTTAATCGGTCCAGTAATTTAGAAATGCCATGATTTCAAAATTTTCAAAATCATAAAAAATCATAAAAATTTACATTTCTTCATTTTCGTACTTGAATAACTTTTCAATGGGATAATTTATCAAATTTTTGTAAATTGCATCTGAAAGCTCTTTAAATAAGCTTCAATTTGAGTACCATATCATATGTGTAGTCCAAAAATTATGTCCTATTCTGCTATGTCAATTATGAAATTTGCTATTGCACTCGTTTTGTGCAATAGCAGTTCTTCGAACTTGACCTCGGTATCTATCTGTAGAATAAGTATGTTGAGTTTGATAAAGATCCATTGTAAATTGACGACGCTATCGTGGTGACAAGCCGCGGTCGTTTCCGATCGCAGTAATTTTTGGATTTTTTACATTTATTATGAAATCTACTTCCATTTCGACTGC